CTACTAAAAATGATGATAAATACAAGACGAATGGTGGTTGAGCCGAACATGTAGCCAAAGAAGCCGAAAAGCAATTAACCGATGCGATTGACGCTGCTAAAAAAGTGATGGAAAATGAAGGTGATGCAGTAACCAAAACGCAAATTGACAGTGTTGATAGTATTCAATTAGCCCAAGATATTAAATTGGTATTTGAAAAATGTAAAAAGGCTCATGGTCCTGTTGCAAGCACCGAAAAGGATGGTCTGAAAAGCGATTTGACAGGTTATCAAACAAACAAAAAAGTTGCTTGGGATAAAGTAAATCAATACCAAAAAGCCGCCGGCAAAGGATACGCCGATGAAGCTTTGGAAAAAGTTAGTGAAGGTCAGAAAAAGGACCAAGCAACTTACGCTAAGTATGCTGCAATGGAAAGTGCAAAAAAGGCGCGAGAAGAAGCAACCAAAGATGGAGTGACTGATGAAACGCTTATCAAACGGGGTCAGATTAGTGCGGAATTCAAAAATTCTGATAAGGATGACGAGAAAGCGTTAGTAGTGATAGCCGAAAGAGCTGGCGAGACTACTAAATACAGCGACAGCAAAGATAAGATAGAACAAGGCCTCACTGAGATTAAAAAGCACATTGATTTATTAGAAAAAATTATTAAGGCTAAGAGTTCCGATAGTTCCAATGAGGGTCAACTTAGAAAAAAATTAGAAGAATTTGATGGCAAAAGTGGCAAATGAGGGGAAACCGACACTAAAACTTTCTTAGAAAGTTTGAAAAGTTCATTAGAAAGCCGAAAATCACAATTAGAGACAAAGCAAAAAGAATACGGCAAAGGCAATGATGGCACAAACCCTACGCCATGATACAAACAAATGAAATATATAATCCCGCTTTTCTTGGTAATAGCAGTAATACTTGCCGCTGCGGTCTACTTAATAAAATCCAATAGCCAAACCGAAGGTGAAGGCGACGAGTAGAGTTTGGTTGAAAAGTAGATAAAAATATTTTGCCGATAGAGACAAAATAGACCCAGATATTTTGCGAAGATCAAATGGCCGCCGCTGGCGGCCAAGTAGTTAAAATTGCTGAAAATTAGATTGAGGGAGGACAAAATTGGTTGTCCTCCTTTTGACCTGTTGGAGCCTTGCGCTCCCTAATAATTGAAAGATAAAATTTCTAATTTTGCTCTTTTTAAAGGCAAAAGATTTTTTGAATTATTAGTTTCTTAAGGAAAACACTTTCTTTTTAAAATATTATTATGACAGAACTAATAATTATTAAAACTAATGAAAGCGAAAGAGTGCGAAATTTGTTGAATAAAGAAAAAATTAATTATCAAATTTTTTATGAAAAAGAGCAAGAATTTTCCCAAGATGATAAATTACTCCAAGAATACCAAGAAGCCTGACAAGACCCGCAGAGATTAGCCGAAGCAAAACAATGAGAGCAAGCCGCCATGACTGATTGAGCGGAACGAGCCAAAAAAGATAAAAAATAATGTCTGAAAGGATATTCAAAAGAGGGGAAATTTATCGGCCAATTAGACGAAAAATTAATGTTAAGAGCAGAGCAGACTATTTGTTATGTATTGGCTATTTCCACGGAGGCATTAGCAGAGGAATTAGAAGTGAGAAAGAAAAAAAACTATTTTTAATTGCGTTTTCAAATTAAAACTTCGTAATAAAAAAAAATTATATTAAATGCCCACTCAGCAAAAAAAGCCAACCAAAAAGATTATTTTTCTTTTAATCATTGTTTTTTCTCATATTTTTCCGGTTATTCTTTCCGCCTTTTACGACCAGGCCACTCACCATAATGTCAAATTAACCGAATTGAGATATTGATTATGAGCCTTTACTTGATGGTCGGCTTGGACTTCCTTGTTGACTGTGCCATGAGCAATTTACAAATTATTCGCTTCAAAAAGAAAAAAAAGCAGTTTTGGCGAACAAATATGGGACTTAATAGTGGCTGAAACTAATTTACTTAGTGGCGTCATTTTTTGCGGTGGCGGCTTTTACTTGACGCTTCACACAACGTTTAAAAAGCCGGTGATAACTTATCCTTTACTTGGTGATGTTAAGACCATTTACATTTGACTTTTTTACAATTTTTTTTGGCATGTTTTAGCACCAAGTTTGGTTTTCTATTATTTTTGAAAATATTGCCGAGTTGGCAAATTAGCCAAAAAAAAATGATTGGGTTTGGTCGTCAATTTGTCTAATCCCACTATTTATCTTTGTTACCTTATGCTGCGGCCATTGATAAGTAATTTTTCCAAGCCCGCTCCCAGTTTTCCTCATAAATATCCTCCTGATTATCCTTATCCACCTTTTTTTT